ATCTCTCTCTCTCTCTCTCTCTCTCTCACTCTGTGTCCTTAAAATGACTTTCCTCCAGTCTCACTCCCTCCCCCTCTCTCCCTAGTCTCTGTGTCTGTGCCTATAGCCTCTCTCCCCCTTTCTGTGACATACAGTAGATGGTGCATCGATTGCACACAGACGCTTGCTTTCCCTCTCTCTGATTCAGTCCTGTGCGAGGAGGAAGAGGACGGATTGAGACGTATCTCTCTGCTTCTCAAGCTGCATTTCCTCATGCTGAGCTGCTGTGAGGAGCCTGCCCGCATTCTCTCTCTCTCATCTCGGAAGATTCTGCTATAGAGGTCAGGTAGTGGCGGGGTGGAGAGGGAGGGTGGGCGGGTGGGTTTGTGGGTCACTTTTCAGCTTCTTTTGAATACTCCAGGCAAGCTTATGCTGAGTTGCCAAACATGGAGACTCTAGTAATGTTGGGGTGAAGAGAGCTGTTTACCAAGGGAGTTGCTGTGCAGCATTTCTGTCGCATTTTTCTGCTGTGTCTGCACCAGATAAACATTGTGTGACTTTTGAATGTAGTAATTTTCTGTTTGTTGCCTCATCAAGCCGGTCCACCTTCATTTTGACTTTTTTTCTGTCTTAGATGTCTGGTGAGAACATCGTGTCTTTTCCAGAGATCTGAAACGGGCATGATGTCTCAACTCTTGCACATGGAGATTCCAAACTTTGGCAGCACTGTTCTGGACAGCCTGAACGAACAGCGGCTGCTGGGCCAACACTGTGATGTGGCCATTATGGTCAATGGACAGGCCTTCAAGGCCCATCGCGCCGTTTTAGCAGCCAGCAGCCTATACTTCCGCGACCTGTTCAGCGGTAGTGCCCAGACACTCTTTGAGTTGCCCTCATCTGTGGCCCCATCCTGCTTCCAGCAGATTCTATCGTTCTGCTACACGGGCCGGATGACGGTGAGTGCCAGCGATCAGCTGATGGTCATGTACACCGCAGGCTACCTGCAAATCCAGAACATCGTGGAGCGGGGAATGGACCTCATGTTCAAGGCCAGTGCTCCGTACTGCGACTCACAGACATCTGCCACAGACGATCCCCCTAGCCCAAACAACAACAACTCCTCCCTGTTGCTAGGCGACCAGCCCACAACTCTCTGCAAGATCAAGGAAGAAAAGTTGGAGACCCCGGTATGTGCTCGGAATGGAGAGCTAAAGCACTCAGATGAGGATAGGGGAGCTAGGGGCAGATCTTTAAGGAATGGGACTCTTTTCTACACCAGTGGAGGTGTGAACGGGATCATACCCGTGATGCATGCTTACGAGCACTCGACCCGAGATCATGCCAGCCCCGGTGCTTCTAGCCTCCCGACCACAGACAGCCCAACCTCACACCAAAATGAGGAGGAGGACTTTGAAGACGACTCGTACGAAAGCCTGACAAACGGAAAGATCTTTGGGGGCTCGTCTGGGATCTATAGCAGTAAATGTCGTTTAATGGACTTCTCTTTCGCTCCGTTGCAGCTCAAGATGCATTCCTGTGAGTGTGATCTTTTGTGTCTCTTCCCAGTGCAAGAGAAGATGGAGGTGTCCTCCCTGCCTCTGTCCTTGGAGAACCGTTTCTGTGTGCTGTTGGGAGGAGACAGAGAGGCTCTGCCTGCCGGACTCATCAGCCAGATCGGCTACCGTTGCCATCCTGCTCTCTACACAGAGGGCGACCCTGGAGAGAGACTGGAGCTAATTGGAGGTGAGGCCTGAATAATACCAGCCTGTCTGAAACTCCATGTCCATCTGAATTATTTATCACTTCAGACTGAGTCATTTGATTCACTGATTCAGAGCTAAGGTCTCCTTGTTTCTCTGTTGTTGGTGTTGTGAAAGGATCTGGTGTCTTCATGACTCGTGGGCAGCTGATGAACTGTCACCTCTGTGCTGGGGTCAAGCACAAAGTCTTGCTTAGACGTCTTCTAGCTGCTTTTTTTGACAGGTCTGAAACATTACAAATGTGTATCAAGCATGTATGTGGATCTGTCTTAATGTATGAAATACTAAGAGCTCAGTCCTGCAGTAAAAATAACCAAGCAGAGATGTCCTCATATTCAAATGTTTCAGTATATTGTTTTTGAGGTATATTGAACTGTAGGGGCCGTATGGTGTTTTGGAAAAAAAATTTGTGTGTGTGCCCTCCAGTGGTTGACTATGGTATTTTGACTGCAGGAATACACTTGCTGACAGCTGTGGGACTGGAATACGTTCCTCCAACTGTGATCCAAATCGCAAACCACTGGACAGCCGCATACTCAACACAGTGAAACGTGAGTGATGTTAAAGCAAACAAAATTGACCATTTTTAGTATGTGTGCCTGGTCTTAAGGTGATGATACACAGGGCAACTTTCTAAACAATGCTGCGGGGCAATGTTGCCGTCAACGGGCAACCAGATGAGACACAGGGTCCATTACCGATCTAAATTATCCAAATTGCCCATTTTCAATGAGAAAGTGCCCAAGCAACAATCGCTCGGCAAGATTGCCCAGCAACATATCTCAAAATGTGTATCATCACCTTGTGTGCATGATTGCATGGTTTAGTTTGCTCAAAAAAAGCTTCGTTTTCATCTTTCATCAAATCTTTCCTTGCCTCCAACCTCCACTTTTCATGTACCAATCAGTTACACCTCACAAACGTTTCTACTGTTTCATTTGGAAATGTCACAATATGGAATTGAAATGGGTTTAATGCGGACTTGAAGCATTAATATTCTTGTTTTTTCTCTGTCTCTGTTTTGTAATTAGTCTACTGTCAGAATTTTGCCCCTAACTTCAAAGAAAGTGAGATGAATGTGATTGCCGCAGACATGTGCACCAATGCCCGGAGAGTTCGCAAACGCTGGCTCCCCAAGATCAAGTCCATGCTTCCAGAGGCGATCGAGGTGTACAGGGGGACTGCGGTCCTTAGCCAGGTGGAAGGAGCCACCCATCCAGGCGGTGGCTTTCCCTTTGAGTCAGAGTTCAAACACCTGGCAGCGTCAAATCTGACTCTGGAGCAGCATCTCTATGGAGAATGCAGAGAGACACTGAGGAATGGCTCTCACTTCAATGTGGAAGAGAGGTCCCAAAAAGGCGAAGCAGCCAAGACTGAGCCAGGCCGAGCCAAAGAGTCCGACAACCCGCAGGAAGTTGAAAGGCTTCCGGAGAGTCCCGAGAGAGCAGCCAGTGTGCTCGCTCTCAACCCAGCCAGCAAGAAAGGGGAAAAAGAGCGGGCATCCAGCAGCCCCAGATCACAGAAAGAGGAACAGAACAGACAGAGACCACTTAAAGAGGATCAGTGACTTCTTCTACTTCATACGATTTAAAAACTGGTCTGCAGCTTCTCACACCAAAAAGGATCACTATCCATAAAGGCAAATATCCCATGCCACTGAACATTAAATTAAAGCTGCATGATCATGAAATCTGGACATATACATTTTTTTCCAGGATATATTGAAGAACATCTGCATTAAATACAGTTATGCTCACAATTTTCCCTTCCCCTTGCGGAGTCTACAAAATGCTTTTTTTTATTATTATTTTTACTGTCCGTGTGAAGCTATTTGACATGTATTCACATGTATTCCACAAGACAGATTAACTAAATAAACTGAAAAACAATATCTGATCTTTTTTCAAAAATTTACATACCCTTAGTTTTTAATATCATACATTGCCTCAAGCATCAATGAGTGTTTGTAGACTTTTGTGATAGTTGTGCATGAGTTTATGGTTTGTCCTGAGCAGTGAAACTGTTCCTTGACAAAGCCTCCAGGTCCTGTAAGTTATTTGGTTTCCCAGCATGCTCTGCACATTTCAGTTTTTCCCTACATTGGAAATATAATTTTGAGATCCAGTTTTGGCACTATGGACAATTTAGGGACTTGTGCAAAACTGTGATGCTTGAGGCAACACACAATATCAAGAATCAAAGGTATGTGAAAGTCTGAATATGATATTTTTTGTGTAATTTAAGTCATATTTCTTTCTTATAAAAACATAAATATGTGTCATGCAGCTTCTTCAGAGCAGTAAATAAAAACAAATAGGATTTTATATCTTATTTTTCAAAAAAAAAAAAAAAAAAAAAAGTATAAATGTCTGATTCCCCAAGGGGTTTGCAAACATCTGAGCATGACTGTATAAGAAACTGTAAGGTTCTTTCATGGAGCCATTTAGCATACGTAAATGCAGGCACATATTCAAGCTCAGTACATTAAGGCAATCGGCAGTGCGTTTTTTTTATGAATGCATGTGATGCACAAGCTCTGGCATTTCTGACTTAATACTCTTGCCAATTACAGAAACAAATGGATTATGGACTTCTGCATGGCAAAACAAGTGAAGGACAAAGGCTCTCCTTAATATAACACAACTTACATGCTTCAGGAATCAACTATACTGCTTTAACTCCAGTCGGACAATGGGGTTGCTATGTACAAAGCTGACTGTGGGACTGCTGAGTTCAGTACAGTAAGGGAAGCTGAACAGAGAACAGTTCTCTAGAGAGTAGCCTGGACTCTCAGTTTTCCCTCTCAAGCTTTTTAATCTCTCTTGTTCTCAAGCTGCTGTATAGTAAATGCTTGCCTGTTTTTTTCCCCCTGCATATCAGCTGGTCTGGACATTTGAAACACGGTTGTATGATTGTTTTTGAAAGTGAAATAAAGGAAAGGATTATTTTGAGGGATAATTAGGTTATGCCTATTTGGTCACCATTATTGTTTGATAAAATGGCTTTTGCATCATTACAGTGAAATTGATTCAATAGATAAAACATGAAATCATTAGCTCAGTTTTACTTGAATACAGAAAATACAATACATGTGAAATGTCTCAACGAGGTCTAGACATTCAGAGATAAATTTTGAATCTTGTTCATTTGCATACGGATAGATTTTCTTCCTTAAATACATGGACGAATCTCTGCATCTGTTCCCCCAGCAGGCAGTTTTGTCTCCTTTACCCTGAAAAAGAACACCATTGTTCATTTTCAGATATCAGTGACTATGTTCTTTGAATTATTGGTAACGTTTCCTTTTACAGTACAGTACTTACAGTATACTTACAGTGTACTTACCTAGAAAGTACTGGCTAATATAAGGTAAGTACATGGAACAAGGGTAGGTTCAGGGTTAGTACTAGTTATTACCCAGTAGTTGTAGTTACTAAAATAAGTACATAGTATTTACATGGGTAACTGGACTGTAAAAGGAAGCGTTATCTAATTATTAAAAACTAAAAAACTAAAAACTAAGATGGAACAGATTCAGCAGCTGTCCCAGACAATAACCTCTGATTTGGGAAAGGTAAACAGCATTTGGTGCCATGTGTGGTAATTTTTTTATGATCTTTATACATCACATTCTGATCCTTTTCCAGATGCCTCCAGATGTTCCAGAAATCACGAACAGCACAACATTTCTCACAGTTTTTCAGCTGCTCGTTCTCAAGCCGAAAGAGATTCCAAATACAACGCCTGGTTGAACAGAAAGAAATAATTAAGAAAAGAATACAAGGACAATCTAATCCTGAATATTTTTTCCTATGAGTCAGGTGCCACCGTTAAATTAAATTATAGCAAAATGTAATTTGCGCTGATCATCCTGGATTACAAGTTGCTTAGAGCGTGTGACTGAAATCGAACCTGAGGACTTCCAGTGGTGCCAGCAGGGCACTTGCAGTGGCAGCCGCAGATGAATCCTTCATCTGAGCCAGGAGGATATTTATAGCCCAGGAGACCCGCAACAGCACATCCGCCAGCATGGCTGCATAGTAGTACAACTGCAAGAGCACATCTCTCACTAAGAGCAGTTGCAGGACTGTTTGACCCCTTACCCTCCAACAGAGATTCATTTAGTGGAACCTTTTCAGCCTGAAACTTCATGAGATACTAGAGATAAATGCGTTCACTGTCAAATAGACTAAATCAAGCACAACAAAATGTGACTTTGAGCTGTGATATGGTCAATTTGACAGAGTAATGCTTGAATTTAAATAATGATGGCAGGAGGGTTTAGTATAGTATCACTACTGCTGAAAGTCAATAAGGACTGCTGTCTTAACAGGGTTGCCAGATCTGTTTAACAAAATCAGCCCTTTGGCCAATCAAAAATAGCCCAATTAAACTAGCCTAAAAACTAGCACTAATACCAAAACTCAAAATATGCCACTCCTATACTTCAAATATACTTTACAGACCCGGTTATACTTGAAAATTACTGCACTGTAAAACTGTGAAGTGATCTCTCACGTGTGTACATCACTCATTGTGTTTACACAGAGATTTCGGAAGTTTTACATTTCACTGTGAAGATCTAAATATCGAAATCGTCTTCCATTGCAATTTAAATGCGATCTACATGTGATCAATGAGTGACGTACATGTGCGAGAGATCACTTCCGAGAGAAGCGCCTGTGCCTTCAGATCACTTGGACGTGGCTGTGGTTACAAGAGGTAAAAAAGTATATATAAATACTTTCGTTTTCTCACACAAACCGATCATTTCGTGTCTTCAATGGCCATCAATGTGTACTTACATTTATGAGTCATTAAATCATGTTTTATTTGGACTTCTTTGTGCATTCTCCTTTTTTTCAAGTGGACCCAGGGAGAACCCCATAAAACTCCATTATATGACTGACAGACAAGAAAGGTTCGACCTAAAAATATCAAATTTGAAAATACTGTGGAAACAAAGACACCTACATCTTGGATGCCCTTGAGGTAAGCTAAAACATATAAAAAATTAATTTCAAAGTGAACTATCCCTTTAAGAGAGCAGAAACTGTAAGAAAACTAAACAAGAGGTATTTCACAAAATAAGCTTTACAAGCCCAGAAGTTTCCAGGCAGCATGACAGTAATGACTTTATGACCTTCTTCTCTTACAAGATTGATAATATCAGGGAGAAAAATTGCCATAGAAGAGGACGAATTTTCTAAACTCGTTAAATCATCTGAATCGACAACATGTATGTTAGACCCTTTACCAACGCTGAAAGAGATACTTCCAGAGGTCATAGATTCTCTTCTCAATATCATTAATTCATCTTTGTTACTGTGGCCCGGTGTGAATATTAGTGACAACACTAGACACAGGGATTTAAATTATCTGTGGGATCGTTTATTCCAGACTGCACTTGAAACAGCGCAGCGTTAACTATGCAAATATGTGATACTAGACAAGAAAGCTTGTTACATTGGTTGGAATCAATAAAGATATTTTGTTATCAACTCTAGTCTCTCTTGTCTTTCTGTTCTCAGTCACCACATTAACAAATAAACTACTGGAATCTAATTAACATAGACAACGATAGTGGACTCGTATTCTGAAAAACACATACACAGATTGTTACAAGATTTGTCAACACAGAATACCAAATAAAGCTGCTTATCTTACATAAAAGATGCATGAAAAATATAAAAATGAAGTTACATTTCCCAGTAACATTAATACATTCTAATCATTACAATGGCTAACATCCACTAAATATAAATCACTCTGAATTAACATTCTAATATTCCACAAAGAAATAATTAAATGACTCTTATTATAATAATCAAATTAAACTTACTGTTCATCAACACACTTTATAGCATGTACACACTGTCACATTGAATGCTGAACTCAATTCTCCTTCTGAAACAGCAATAAACACAGTATAACACTTATTTAACAATCAACAGATTGCCATAAACACACGTATAAGCAGCAAACACTTTTTTTTAGGATTAATTAATTAACAACACTCACTCTGTTGCTTCACACTCGGCCTGGAAACACTCAGGAGGCCTTAAGAATACTCCTCTCCCCTCTTTAATCAACCAAAATGATCACCAATCACTTAATGTTTAGATTACATCATACACAACAAAATATTCTCAATATTAAACTGACATTAGTTATGATTAATCACTCACGCTTCGAGATTTATTGTCGATCGGATTTCTCCACATAGGTATGCATCTCGAGTCGACAGAATTTCAAAGTTCCCTCAGCACAACACACAATCCTCACAACACACTAAGAGAGACTTCCAAGTTACTATATGTGCTTTTTTGTTATTTTAACAGTAACATCTGCGTCTAATGGCCTCAGCACTCCACCGCATGAGCCGCACTTCAAATCACGTTGTGACCGCGCGCTGTACACAGCAGAATCTCGCGATTCTTCCAGAATGTCACACATCGCGTTTCTTAAAGGGCTAGCGTACTATTCCATCAATTAATGAGAAAACCCTGGAACAGTCTGTGGTGTAACTTCCCTTATCCTAGAGCATTAGTTAACCAGTACAGTAATTAGTTTGATAACTTTTGACCTGGTTACACTCTCCCCTGCTGATAGTCGACGTCCCCGGTGACTACTAACCCTAATCATCTTGCCCCCCTTGAAGCTTCCCTGTGGTATAGAGGACCATTCCAGCTAGCACTTGGGAGAGCACATCCGGACTAAAAGACACTGCATTGCATGTCGACTTGGGTAAATGGTTTGGGTTACTATGTACTCCTGCATTTGTTCTCTGTGTTTTACGCACAGCAGGGCAAGGCACTTCTGGCTTAACACCCTCTTCCTTTCTCTTTCTAGGTGTGGGCACCGGTTTTATCACTGGATTCTCAGCAGGTAAGTGAACAATTTCTGTTTCTGGCTCCAGAAATACTGGCGGCACTCCCAGGGTATCATCAAGGGTCTCGTTGCACTCTGGTTTCGAGCAATAACCCCTCCTATCAGATTCCTCCATCTGATCTTTGAAACTGTCTCTGTCTCCAGGAACTGGCTGTTCTTGATGCTCAGATGTTGGTACTACTGCCAGTTTCTCCTTGAAACACGGAACTTCCTCCACTAGAACACACTCAGCCTCCAAGGAGGTCATCTCTGACTCAGGATCTGGGGTAGGTACCTCCTCCACAGAAGTTTGCCGACGCTTTGGCACGGTCACTGGGGCTGGACCATTGCAGGGTCTGAGGTTAGATCTGTGCACCCTCTTCAATGTACCTCCTTCAACAGGCTCCACGGTGTACGTCGTTCCTTGAACCTCTAACACCTTGTACATTGTTGAAGACCACGCGTCCTGAATCTTGTTTCTTCCTAGTGGCCGGTGTCGTAGGTACACATGTTGTCCAATCTCTACATCAGGGCAAAACACCTTCTCCTCATGCCGCGCAGCTCGTTCCACAGCCTTCCTTTCCGCATATTCCTTTGCTCGAACATGGGCATCTCGGAGGCGTTCCTGGTGTACTTTTAACCAATCATGTTTGTCATCGGTTACAGGCTCCTGGCCCAACAGTGCATCAACTGGCAGATGTGGCTGGATCCCAAACAACAGATAGTATGGTGAGTATCCTGTGGATGAGTGTGGTGTCACATTATATGCATAGACCAGCTCTGACAAGTGTTCAGGCCACCTGCGCTTCCTTTCGGGTGGAAGGGACTTCAAGAGATCATGAAGGGTTCTATTGAACCTCTCACATTGAGGATTTCCCTGGGGGTGATGCGGGGTCGTGCGCGTTTTCTTGACTCCATATAACTTGCAGAGTTCCGCAATCACAGCACTCTCAAAATTCCGGCCCTGATCAGAGTGCAAGCGTTGCGGCACTCCATATTTCAGGAACCACTCCCTGAGGAGAATCTTGGCAGTGGTCTCCGCCTTCTGATCACGGGTGGGAAATGCTTGACTGAACTTTGTGAACACATCTGTCACTACAAGAACATTTTCTCGCCCATCCGTGGCTGGTTCAAGAATGGTGAAGTCCACTGCTACAACCTCCAAGGGACGTGTGGCCAAGAATGAAACCCAGGGTGCCTTGACTTTTGGTTGCGGCATCTTTGCTAATACGCAGCGTTGACATCGCTTTACCCACTGTTCCACATCCTCATACATTCCTCCCCAGAAACATCTCTGTCTCAGCAGGCCTAAGGTCCTCTCTATACCCTGATGACCCATCTGATCGTGGACACACTTTAAGACTTGATCTATCAAACAGGTGGGTAACAACAGCTGATGACATTCTCCAACATGGACATCATTTATTACACGGTATAACAGACCATCCTTTTCTCTTATCTTTGGCCACTGCTTCAACAGGGATCGTACAGCTGTGGCCAGACCCATCCTCTCTTGCTTGGTAGGTTTCCTTTGCCTGCTCCAGAACTTCTTGAACACACTTAGTGCTGGATCAGACTCCTGGAACTGACGAAGTTCTGACTCTGAATACCCGGGCAGAGTGGGGGTATTCTCACACTCAATATCCTCTTCTCCTGCTGTGGTTACCTGTAACTGCCTGACTTTGCTGCACTCAACTCCTGCTGCCAACAGGTCTGGTCCCAGAGCTGTTCCTGTCCTGAGCGAGTTACAGATTGCCACGGAACCATCAAATTCGGCGTCTTCGCTTGCAGAGTCTGGTTCATCTAATCCTGGTCTCCTCGAAAGAGCATCAGCCGCAGTGTTACACCGTCCAGGGCGGTACTTGACTTCAAAATCGAACACAGCGAGCTGGGCAACCCAACGTTGTTCGCAGGCCCCTAACTTGGCAGTTGTGAGGTGGCAGAGGGGATTGTTGTCTGTTATGATGGTGAATTTGGACCCCAGCAGATAACTTCTGAACTTTTCAGTGACTGCCCACTTTAATGCTAATAGTTCCAGCTTCATGCTGCTGTAGTTCCGATCATTTTTCTCAGCCCCTCTTAATCTCCTACTGGCATAAGCCACTACAACCTTCTTGCCGTTTTGTTGCTGATACAAGACCGCTCCCAACCCCAGGTTGCTCGCATCTGTCTCAATCACAAAGGGAAGCGTGAAATCAGCATAACCAAGTGTGGGTGCCCTGGTAAGTCGGTCCTTAAGGTGCTCAAATGCCGCTTGACACTGAGGAGTCCAGATGCTCTTATACCGCTGAACTGCCTTGGCGTGGCTGGTCTCTTTAAGGCACAAGTTCACCACATCGTGCAACGGTCCAGCTATCTGGGAGAACCCCTCGATGAATCTCCGGTAATAGCTACAAAACCCCAAGAACGATCGGAGTTCCTTGAGAGTGCCCGGGACTGGCCACTCCCGGACTGCGCTTATCTTATCGGGGTCTGTGCTCACGCCTTGGGGTGAGACTTGATGGCCCAGGAACTTCACTTCAGGCTGAAGGAAATGACATTTCTCCATCTTTATCTTCAGTCCAGTTTCCCTTAATCTTCTTAACACAGTTTCCAGCCTCACCAGGTGTGTGTGAAAGGTGGACGAATACACCAACAAGTCATCCAGGTAGACGAGCACAATCTGAAACACCAAGTCACTCATGACAGCCTGCATGAGTCTCTGGAAGGTTGCAGGCGCATTACACAACCCGAAAGGCATCCGCCGGTATTCATAGAGGCCAAACGGTGTGATGAATGCCGTCTTCGGTCTGTCATTTTCATGGACCGCCACTTGATGGTAACCGCTAGCAAGATCTATTGTGGAGAAAACTTTTGCTCCTCCCAACGCATCCAAGCTCTCATCAATGCGCGGCAATGGAAAAGCGTCACGCTTAGTCTTCGAGTTTAGTCTCCTATAATCCACGCACAGCCTTAGACTTCCATCCGACTTGCGTACCAGAACGATGGGTGAAGCGTAAGAACTCGAGCTTTCCTGGATGACACCCTTCCTGAGTAAACCTGAGATATGCTCCTTAACCTCTTCAAATTGAGTCGGCGGTATTCTGCGATATGGCTGAGCAACGGGAGCCTCATCCGTCAAGTGGATCTCGTGTTTCACCCGATCTGTATATCCTAGCTCTTCATCACAGGATGCAAACACATCGGCATACTTCAAAAGTAGCACTCCCAGGCTTGCTTGCTGTTCCGGTGTACCTCCTATATGTAGTCGACTCAACAGATTAGAAACATCAGTACCAGACTCTGGTTTGTCTTTCTGATTGACCATCACTTCTTCGTGATCAGCAGAGATACGCTGGAATCTCACCTGACAAGCTTCACTCTCAACACACTGACAGTGGGTAAGTATTCCAAGTGGGACTTTAGGTGGCAGCCAGACATCTTCTTGGGAGAAGTTGACCACTTGAACTGGAAACACTCGACTTCTGGACGACACCAAAGTGGGCATGGGAATCAAACCACCTGGTAATGGGGTGTTTCCTGGTTCCAGCAAGAGCCAAGCGTTAACATCAGGGGTTCTCTTGTTTACTCTGGCATGAACAGTGGCTATAGAGGATGCTGGAATATGGGTTTTGCCCCGACAACTAACTCTGGCTGTTGACATTGTCTTCCCTCGTTCATCTTCCTGTACACGGGTGAAGGCTTCTCGCCAAACAGAGTCCAACTTCCCTCCTAATGTGGTGTCAAACTCAGTCAGTGCTAACTCTCTGCATCTCTGGGTGATGTTCATGCCTATGATACCGGGTGGAGTTGGATCCGGCTCCGCAGCTTCCACATCTCTGACTATCAGGAAACCACACTCCGGTATAGTTAGCCCCATCACTTGGATGTCCAATTCAACATATCCCAGGTACGGCAGGGGTAACTTGTTCGCTGCAGTTATCCTTAGCCACTTAGAGGTGCAATGAAGGTCCCCGTCCTCTCCATGTAGGTTTTCTCTAAAGAAGCTTTCTGTTAGGGTACTCACATTACTTCCTGTGTCTAGCAGACATCTTACTGGGACACCCCCAATGCAAATATCAACTTCAGGGCACCTGCCAACAGCACGCTCCAAGAACCGTTCTTTCGTTAACGTACTGCATCCCGAGCCTTCTGGTTTCCCTCGCATTGCTCGGCTCACCGCAACGGAGGGACACCGTTTCCCTGTACCGTAGAACTCTGGGTGGCAGTGGGTTGACCCTTGAAACCACGAGGTGCAGGACAATGTCTAGCTATATGTCCCACTCCTTCACACCTCAAACAGATAGGTTGGCCATCATCTGTATACTTGGGCTTGACTCTGGGATTGCCAATCGTGTTACCACTCGACCCAACCTTCTGTACAGTGAGTTCACGGACCGCATTAGTGAGTTCTCCAATCGCTTTACCCTGCTGAGTGATTATCTTGACTACCTCCTGCAGAGCCCCAACCATGTCACTTTGTGCAGAACTGACCGGATTTGAAGGTTCTGACATCCCTTCGGAACATGTACTCATGATGTTTCGACTCCTGGCCACATTAGCTCCACGGGGTCGGTCCTCCACAGCCCACATCATGGCCTCCTCACGGACGTTAAATAGGGTAGACTGAGGCTTTTCTCTGACAAGCTTGCGCAGCTCTCTACGTAGGGTTGCATCTCTTATGCCTTCGATAAACTGATCTCTTAATGCGAGTTGGGGGTCAGACACAGCATTATTAGACTGCTGGAGAGCAAAGTTAAGAAGTTGGGAGAGAGCATGAGAAAAGTCACGGATGTCTTCCCCCTCTAGCTGTCTACGTGCATAGAAAGCATGCAACAACTGTGGGGTAGTGCGTTTCTCCCTAAAGGCCCCCTCAAATATGAAAACAGATCACTGGGTTGTTTGGTCTCCCCCCCCATACACAGTTTGACTTCGTCTAAGGCTGAACCTCTTAAATGGGAAAGTATGAAATCCAACTGGTCATCAGTATTCAACCCCCTTACCCGAATTACACGTTCAACCTCGTCAATGAACTCATCTACAGATTGACCATCTTTAACATGATCACCACTGAATGGCAAAATTTGACGTTCCCTTGGAATATAAACATACGACCTAGTAGCATTATTCATATTAGCCAGGGTTGACATTACTTGGTCGTGTCTTCGACCTAACTCCAGAATTTGTGACTTCAGTTCTGCTACAGGATTACCCTCATCCTCATGACCCGCAGCCCCAGCATGGTCCACGTCCCGGCTGGCTCCAGCCCGAGCAGCTGGCACATCGTCGTCCTGGTCCATGCTCTTGCAATGTCCCTATTTCTAATGGCTCTGAGTCAGAAACAGTCACAGTCAATGCCAGCCAACCTGAAAGGCCAATTCGTTGTCGACGATTAGGCACCCGTCTGCGTTCCCAAAGCTGGTCCCTTGCTTCTCCGCAGACCCTCCAGGCACGTCACACTCCACACCGTCGAACTCCCAGGCGTCAGCACACGACCAGTTTCTCCCACTACCGTTGTCTATGTTTTAGTGCTATCCTATCTACACTAGCAATGGAACCCCACTCCTGGTACCAAAATTCTCTGTGGCCCGGTGTGAATATTAGTGACAACACTAGACACAGGGATTTAAATTATCTGTGGGATCGTTTATTCCAGACTGCACTTGAAACAGCGCAGCGTTAACTATGCAAATATGTGATACTAGACAGGAAAGCTTGTTACATTGGTTGGAATCAATAAAGATATTTTGTTATCAACTCTAGTCTCTCTTGTCTTTCTGTTCTCAGTCACCACATTAACAAATAAACTACTGGAATCTAATTAACATAGACAACGATAGTGGACTCGTATTCTGAAAAACACATACACAGATTGTTACAAGATTTGTCAACACAGAATACCAAATAAAGCTGCTTATCTTACATAAAAGATGCATGAAAAATGTAAAAATGAAGTTACATTTCCCAGTAACATTAATACATTCTAATCATTACAATGGCTAACATCCACTAAATATAAATCACTCTGAATTAACATTCTAATATTCACAAAGAAATAATTAAATGACTCTTATTATAATAATCAAATTAAACTTACTGTTCATCAACACACTTTATAGCATGTACACACTGTCACATTGAATGCTGAACTCAATTCTCCTTCTGAAACAGCAATAAACACAGTATAACACTTATTTAACAATCAACAGATTGCCATAAACACACGTATAAGCAGCAAACACTTTTTTTAGGATTAATTAATTAACAACACTCACTCTGTTGCTTCACACTCGGCCTGGAAACACTCAGGAGGCCTTAAGAATACTCCTCTCCCCTCTTTAATCAACCAAAATGATCACCAATCACTTAATGTTTAGATTACATCATACACAACAAAATATTCTCAATATTAAACTGACATTAGTTATGATTAATCACTCACGCTTCGAGATTTATTGTCGATCGGATTTCTCCACATAGGTATGCATCTCGAGTCGACAGAATTTCAAAGTTCCCTCAGCACAACACACAATCCTCACAACACACTAAGAGAGACTTCCAAGTTACTATATGTGCTTTTTTGTTATTTTAACAGTAACATCTGCGTCTAATGGCCTCAGCACTCCACCGCATGAGCCGCACTTCAAATCACGTTGTGACCACGCGCTGTACACAGCAGAATCTCGCGATTCTTCCAGAATGTCACACATCGCGTTTCTTAAAGGGCTAGCGTACTATTCCATCAATTAATGAGAAAACCCTGGAACAGTCTGTGGTGTAACTTCCCTTATCCTAGAGCATTAGTTAACCAGTACAGTAATTAGTTTGATAACTTTTGACCTGGTTACATTACTAAGATACACACCAAAAACTTTTAGCTGGCTATTATAAAACCAATTGTTAAAAAAAACTTGATCATACAGAATTGAGTCAATTAGATCTCAAATCTACCTTTTCTGTCAAAGATAGTAGAAAAGGCAGTATCTTCACAACTACCTATGTTCCTATTTAGAAAAAAAAAAAAAAAAAGATATCTGCGAGGATTTTCAGTAAGGATTTAGACCGTACCATAGTACTGAGACAGCTCTCATCAGAGTCACGAATGATTTGCTCATCCGGTCGTGATTGTATCTCGCTATTGGTGTTACCCGATCTTAGTGCTGCATTTGATACTATTTACACAAAATTCTTTTAAATAGATTCGAAAATGATGTTGGCAAAATTGCATTAGCATGGTTTAAATGATACTTATCTGACTGTTATCAGTTTGTAGCAGTAAATGAAGAGGTGTCTTATCGATCACAAGTTCATGGTGTACCACAAGGCTAAGTACTAGGACCATTGCTGTTCACACTGTACATACTACCCTTAGGAGATATCATTAGGAAGTATGGCATTAGTTTTCACTGTTATACTGATGATACTCAGCTCTATATTTCTTCACTCCCCGAAGAAACTTAAAAATTCACAAAAATTAACGGAATGTATAGCTGATATAAAAAACTGAATGATTCTAATTTGTTTTTAAAAAACAGATTCTAATTATTGGACAAAAAATTTCCTCATGTAATAACCTAAAATACTGTCTAACACTTGATGGCTCCTCTGTCAAGTCTTCGTCATCGGTTAGGAACATGGTTGTGCTCTTTGATAGCAATCTTTCATTTGAAAGTCAAATTAATAGTATCTGTTAAACCGTATTTTTCCATCTTAACTCTTTCCCCGCCAGCGTTTTAAAAAAAAGTTGCCAGCCACCGCCAGGGTTTTTGACGATTTTCGCTAAATTTGAATGCCCCCGCTGAATATTTTCTTCCATGAATATATGAAGATGATATATATAAAAATAAAGATCTGAGCCTCTGCTTTTAGGCAAAAAAAACGTTTTTATTTTATCTTCATTTGTTCTTTTTTTATTGCCTCTTGAACAGAGGTAGGTTTTGTCAAAAAACACAACATTTTGACAAAAAACTGAGAAAAAGGTGTTTTTATCAAACAAGTGCATTTAAAAAGCAGAATACATTCAGATGTTGTTTCCTTCATATATAAAACTTTCCAAAATAAATTAAAAACATAAAATAAATGTAAAATATATCAAATTTCCCAGGATGTAAGGGAAATGTAACTTTTGCAATAAAACTTCTGCCTCTGCCTCTCTGTGTTCTACCTATGAATAATTGGAATTACAATAAACAGGCCTAGACACACCACACACACACACAACACACACACACACACAAATACATTTTACAATGTGGTAAATGTGCACAAAGAGAGAAATAATTTGACAATTACACCTTCATATTTAGACAGCCACACATAAATGCCTGTGTTACGGATCAACTGGGGATCATGTTAACTGGGGACGCGCGCGTGCACGCAGACAGTTTTACCTGGATTTCCAGCAGATGTTAAACGGTGACAGATTCGTCACAGTTATTTTTTCACTGAGCAGATTTTCAAAGCTTTCCACTTTATTGTTAAATGTTTGCATCATATTATGGCTCTGTTGTTTACTCTGCGCTGCTCCGCTGTATGTTTCAGACGCCTACGGGAAGTTTTAATGTGCTTTAATTTTGCGACACACAGACCACGCCCACATTATTATTTTTTTTTTACATTAGTTTCAATAAAATTTGTATCTGATGACAACTGTAAATATATTAAATAAATTATACTATTGACATTGTGTATTTGCAGTGCGTGTGTATTCGCAGATTATTGTTATGATGCCAATTTGTGGCTTCATTTAAATTGAGCAGCAATACTTCTGTGGTTAAAGGGACATGTCAAGCATTTATTTATTTATGAATTTTAATGTTGCTGAGGAATGATGAGTTAAAACATTAAGCATACAGTACACTCCATAAATGTTCATAAAGAGTGGTGAAAATTGATAAGACATATCTTATGGATTCAGTGATTTACTCACAGCATAGGGGAATGTTCAACACACATATTCATTATAAACAGACCTATGAAAAGCAACAAAAGAAAAAAAAAAATAGGCAATTGTGCATGCATGTAGGACAGCTGTATTTGCCATCTGTGAAGGTCTGACCACACAGTCTCACCTTCTGAAATTCAATCTAAGGAAGGATGAACAAAATAAGTTAGAATAGTTACATGCTAATGAAGAACAATTACTTGTTTTGCAATGTGCATACATTTTTCTTGGCCAGTTTGGCCTTAATACCTACTGCTCTCCATCTAATGTAATCATGTTATATTAGAAAATAAATGTCACAGTTGTATTACCTTTCTATAGTAAGAGCAATTTAACACACAATCACCCTTCACTGAGAAATCTCCTCTTAGTGTTCCTTTATAGAGAGCAGCTGCCAAATAATGGTTATCCTACAAAGTTTTTGATTTGTGTAACTTTAAATTGCATCAATTTGTTGTGGTAGTCTATGGCCTAACAACAATGACACCAGTAACAATAATGACACTTAATTTAAGCTATAGACCTTTTTTTAATCTGTTCCTAA